AGAATGGCAAGGTAAAAAATATAGTGCTCGAATCACGGGAGGTGATAGTGGGCTGGATTTATGATGTGGGCAGCTCAGTGAACATGCAACGTCTCTTAAATCTGGATAAATGCTATTGGTTCTAATGTAGGAAAAGCTTACTGCATTCCTGATAGGAACTCTAAGTTTCTAAATCAGGAGATAAACAACAGACCCAAAGAAATAAAATAAATGAAGTATATTGTTAAATATTGTAGTGTGCACTATGGGTGCAGAAATCACAGTGAAAGCTTGTATTGTCAACATGTAAGCTTCAGCTTCCCTTTTAGCTGGTTCAGGTTAATGTATGTGTGCTTTCGTAATGATGTGTGTCAAGATTTGTTTATTTTGGGTCATCATGTCTGTGGATTTCATTGTATTTAGCTGGCTTTCCTTTCATTCAACTTGAGCACAAGTTGGCTTTGTACCATTTGCTGACTAGAAAGTTGAGGCAGGGGGAAAACGGCATTATTTAAACTTCAAATAAGAAAAGATGAAAGATAATGCAGATTCTCTCAGCCTCAAAGCCAAACTATAAAGTTCTTTTTTTTTATTTTATAGTAGCTAACACTTCAGTGTTGTGACATTCAAAGTAGAACATAAGAAAACTGCCAACAGATTTTAAAGAATCCATTAATACTGGCAGTCAGGAGGCTTCCGTTTAGAAAATCTACATTATTCAGAGTGAAAAACTAATTAATTAGAACGCCCTTAGGACACAGAATCTGCTTAAATATGTTAGTGGAAAAGTTAATTAATCACTGCAGAATGAGATTTGCAGCAGGGCATACATGTGAGTGCTAGAAAATGGTTCCCTGGGCCACTGCTTGTTTTCTTTTTTTTTTTTCTTTTCCTTTTAAGACTATTTCCATGACAGTATTTTACTGTTTACATCTCATTATTTCTGATCTGCCTGCAGTTCTTTCGTCAGCAATATGTAGAGGCAGCGCTGAGTAGTGAGAAATGAAAGATAATGAAGAAAGAGATGTGAATCGACCCTTTGTTTCACATGTTTTCTGCATATTACCCAAGGTTTCTTGGCCTTGCAAATGGATTTTTTTTTAAAGGGAGAGAAATGTGTGATCACATGGACCATGGTTTATATATGCTTCCAAAATTCCCAGTATGTGTTTTAAAGCCCCCATCTCCCCAACACCAGAGTAGTAATGATTTTGGAGTTGCTCAAAGCTAGCGTTACTATTAACCGTAGCAACCACCAACTGATTTTAATTAGATTTTACCTTTCCCTTCTACTTAGCAATGGCGTATACATGACTTGGGTTTCCTGCTTCTTATTAACTGTTTGCTCTTAACCATTCTCTTTCTTAAAAGAACTTTCATGTCATGATAATGGTAAAAATAGGCAAATTTCACACTGATTTGTTAATGGCATGCAACAGGAGGCTTGTTATGAGCAGGTGCAACCAGCTGTGGAGGAGACCTGAACTTCTTGCACTGAGGCTAAGACTTAAAATGGAGATATTTTAATGTTAAGTGTTATGGGCCGTATTCTATTCCACTTGTTGAGCATCTAAGTAAACTTAGGTACCTATACAATTCTGTTCCACCCGGTTCCATTGCACCTCAGTTTGTAGCACACTATCATCTAACTGTTAACACTGAGTCACAGAAAAGTAGAGAAGCAACTTCTATTATAAACATTTTCATGGTCTTAGCAGGGTGGAATAGAACTGCATTAGGCACTGAAGGCCACTAACATGCCTAATAGGTAGCCTAGACTCTGGCCCTATGTGTCTGCCTTTTACTGACACCTCATTTCGGACCTTCATAAGGCACCAAAGTCAGCAGAAAGACTGCCATGGGCTTAATGTGCTTTTGTATCCCGCTCTTGATGCATAGTGAAATACAGAGAGACCCTTTTCTAAGTCTGTTTTTTATAACAGCATATGTTCATCAAGGGCCTGATTCACCCTGCCTTTGAGCCACCCTGCGGTCTCTCAGAAATCACTGGATACTGGCGAGGTCTATGAAACCCTTTAGATATGGAGCCTAGAAGCAGAGTTTTGCTGTAAAGTGAAGGCGCTCCAAAGGCTAATACATCAGTTTTCCATCTTAATAGGAGCACAGATGAGTCTTCTGAAAGTACAATAGAAATGTAGCCAGCTAATCATAGAAAATCTTACAGTTCGCAAAATTGTTTCTTAGCTCAACTACAAGTCAATATAAGTGGTGTTGTTAAGCAAGAAAGACTTGTATCCTGATCTCAATGGAAGTAAATTGACATTGTTTCATTGGTTTTAATGGAGAGTGAGTAGTTTACAAAAGCTAGATATGCAGTCCTGAATATTTAAATAAAAAGAGGGGATACATTTCAGTATGTGCCCTCATTTTCAGTTGAGTTATACAAAAAAAAAACAACAACCCTTTAGTTTTTAGCCCAGAAATTCAGATTTCCTCTGCCCTGTTTTTCTAAAAAGCTGACGAGGACTGGCAGGACTGTGAGCAAGGGGAACTCTGCTTGAATCTGGCAAATGTGAACAGCTAGTTTTACAGCCCAGTGGTGTGTTAGATGTTGTACATGCACACAAGAAAACAGGGCTCCTGACTCAACGAATTTACAAGCTAATCTGACAAAGGCTTGGAGAATGCTATAGCAGGGAAGGTGATCTTACAGGAGAGTCAGGGGATTGTAGTATCTCGAATGAAGGTGTAAATAACCATTAAAAATGTTAATGATCAAGTGCCATGCCTGTTTTAATTCCTTGCATCCTTCACTGTGTGAAATGACATTACTACCCTCGCTGAGGATGATGAGGACAGGTCTTTCTATCTCGCAGGCTGCTTTTGTCACCATACAGTTTAATGATGTGGAAAAGTAATATTGCCAGGTTCAGTGTCAGTGTTTCAGCATAATAAAAAGCTGTTCTGCTTCATATCCTCCACTCTTCACTGGCTTTCACTCGCTTTCACTCTCTGATAAATTTGATCTAATTGCTGCGCTTATCTTTGAACTGCTCCTTAAATGACCTCTCGTTAGGGCTATTTAATACTAATGTGTCTTCTTCTGTCATGTAAACTTTTTTTAAGCTAGAATTCTAATGAGTCTAAGAAGAGCACAGCTGTATGATAAAGCTTTCATTAGAGAATTCTTTAATAGAACCTACTGCTATTCCTTGATTGCATAATCAACAGCTAATGAAATTGTCTTGGTAACGAGAGCTACCGTGTATTACATCCTCTCTTGAGACTAAGTGGAAAGACAATTGTACCATCCAGGGAAGACTATTGATTGTTCACAGTTCGAATTTGATTGCCCTTCAGGGGAACTAAACAAGGGTTCATCTTCAGCTTTGCTAAATGGATTTTGTTTTCTTTGATACTTATTATTTTACTTTCATACCAGGCATACAAGGGACAACAAACACTGGGACTATCTTCTCATTTCAGATTTCAAAAGTTTACCACTCTGAAAGCAGTTATCGGTGTAGAACAAATTATGGCAGCTTATCCGTGGGACTTCTGAGATCAACCTGTATTTATCTTTATGCAAGTGCAAAGCTTCTGTAGGTCTTCTTAAAGTGTTGCTTATTGCTTGTCTCATTGTAGGAGGGAATCCCAAGGGAAAGTTTGCCTTGGGATTGGTTCAGAATGAATGGAAAGTTTATGTAAAGAGGCCTCTAGATCGGGAAGAGCAAGACATTTATTATCTTAACATCACTGCTACTGATGGACTCTTTGTAACTCAAGCTGCTGTGGAAGTGACAGTCACTGATGTGAATGATAATAGTCCTGTCTGTGACCAGGTTAGTCACCATTTTTTACTGGAAGGTGGAATATTTTATTGAAAGTAATGTTTTCTTATAAGCAGCATGATAATTTACTAATTGTTACTAATTTCTTTTTCATAACTCTATTCAGTTACAAACTTAGTTAAAGGTCTTGAACATTGCAGGGGGTTGTAATGGGACTAAGTAATTTCAAGAAAACAAAAGGTAACATTCCAAAGAAAATAGCAGTGGAGCTAAGCTTTCTGATGTTTTTCTTAACTTCTCCTTTATTGCACTATCATTGGTGAGACTGTATCAGAGGTAACAACAGTGGAAGAATCCAAGTAGCCTGGGCACAGTCGCCAGGTTTTTAACTAGAGGTCTAGGCCAATTCTGATTATTGTTAGAGAATCCTGCCTGCACTAGCACATCTGTGTTTACCATCAAAGATATACTGGCAAAAATGTTAGTTCAACCAGAGGAATGCTTAAGGAAACATAAAGGAAGACAATGTAAAAGCTGTGGCTGCTTTTTGTTCCTTTTATAGTCCTCATACTGTTTTTATTTTATTTAATTGCTTCTAGAATGCTTAAAAACTTGAGAAGGAATGCTAACAATTTAACCTTCCAGGAATGTATAGCATAAAGAAAATGTTTCTTTTATATAAAAATGTTGAAGGTACAAGGAAGGGCACATGCTACAGGGAGTTGCCATGAAAGATGACAGCTGTACAAAGACTGTATAGTCCGCTACTATTGTGCCCCCCGTTTTCTGTTTTTTGTCCACAGGTTACATATACAGCATTATTTCCTGAAGACATTCCGCCAAACAAAGTCATCCTTAAGATCAGTGCTAAGGATGCAGACATTGGGTCCAATGGCGAAGTTCGATATTCTCTGTATGGATCTGGGAACAATAAATTTTTCTTAGATCCAGAAAATGGTAAGATGACAAAAATAAAACTCTCCCTAAATGACATTATTAACCCCTGGGCATCATTTGAGATCAGGGTTCTCTGTGCATAGTGCTAATGTATTTTCCATTAAAGTGTCACAAGTGGAAGCCTGTGAACTTCTGGTGACAATCGTTTATATTCAAGCAGACATCAGTGCCCACCTTTAAAGTGACATTTATAGGACAGTAGAGGCTAACAGACTCTTTTGGTTAGATTGGGTATTCATTAACATGAATATCCAGTTAGAAAAGCTTTAATCCTTCTCTTTCGTAAGAAGACCTCCATTGCAGGCATCAAAGGCACTTTTCTTTATGAAAGGGCATGGTTCACAGACAGCCCCAGCTTGGAATCCATTTCTTCCATGATGGTCTGGAATGGCCCAGATGTACTGACCCTTGTGGCAAATGGCAAGAAACATTGCATACCCCTGCTTCTGAGGAAGATCCTGTATAAAACGTTTCAGGGCAGAGTGGCATATTATATGGTATTCTTAATTTGTTTCTTGAGAACACCTTGCTCTTTTTTTGTGGTATATTTTTACATATCTATAGTTAAATTCAGGAATTATTGCTTCATGCTTTAAATCTAAATAAAATCAGTTACATATCTGGATCTTCATCGTCTACTTTACCATCGTGCTTTGGGCTTGCATGTTACTGAATCAAGTCTTTCCCTAGAGGATTTGTCTTCTCCTTTGATAACAGGAGGCACTGAAGCTGATAGTGGTACTATTTTATTGCTATGATGGATGGAGGGTGAAGCAATTGGAGGTATTTATAGTGGGTGGAAGGTGAGCTGTTATCCCCTGACAGAAGTGCAATACACATCCCAGTAACTAATACTGGATGCTTTGCTTACATGTTAATGGTTGAAGACTGTATTATGAAAAACAGATCATACATAGAACTCATGCAGTATGAACCAGATACCGTATGACACTTGTCAAACTTGTATCCTTTCATTAGGCTGTAACTTATGTCTGTGTATGAGAGTGAGAAATCTGATCTAACAAAGAAGGCAGAAGCATCTACTGGGACTACGAGCATGTTTGTCGGCACAGATTGGCATTAGGAAACTTTACAATTGATTATTTCAGCTGGCATCACTAGATTTAGAGCACACTTCCACATTTAGCAATCTAGAGGAGCATGGAGATTATGAAAGCAACAAAAAGACAGACATAAAAAATACTGTATATGAAATTCTCATCCTTGAGTGAAATTGTAAACTTTGAAGGTCACCAGATTTGGTTGACTCTTAGTGCATTTGTACTGGCAGTTAACTGTGTTGGCTTAAAAAAGGAAGCAAAAAATAAAGTTGGGAGAGGAAGAGAGTTGTCAGTTGTAGACAGATTTTTAATCTTTTGTTTTCCTGAGAAAGAGAAGATTGTTTGGTGCATACAGTATCTAAAATATCATGTTCTGTTATCTTAATAATGAAGATATCTACTTTTAACCTATTTTAGGGGAGTTGAAAACCTTGGCCCCATTGGACCGAGAGAAAATTCCTGTGTACCACTTGGTTGCCAGGGCAACAGATGGAGGTGGTAGGTTCTGCCAAACAGAAATCCACCTAATTTTGGAAGATATTAATGATAATCCCCCAGTATTTTCGTCTGATCATTACATGGCATGCGTCTATGAGAACACAGCCACTAAAGCTTTGTTAACAAGAGTCCAAGCCATGGATCCTGATGTAGGTAAGTGAGCAGTAGTTCTAAGAATAATTGTGGATTGGTGGAATTGTTATTGAGATGCCTCTTTCTCTCACTGCCCGTTCTCTGCTTATTCACCTTGTGTTTTCCTTCCCACCGTATGTTCATTCCTCTGTTATTGCCCATTGAAAGTCCTGTTTCTAGATGTGACATGCTAAGTCATAGGCAAATAAGTACTGTATTGTAGTAGTCAGAGAAGTCTGAAGTCACTAAACTATTATTATAGTGATCATTGGTAGCAGCCTTGAATTTAGGGATAAGTTCTAACTTTCACTCTACAGTGATCTTAGTTTCCCTTAAAGCTGAAGTTCTCTGTGCCCATTTTGTGCACTAAGTTATATGGCCATGTACCACAAAGCTCTATAGTCATACAGAAAAAATAGGTCCTGATTCATCACAGTTTTACTACAGCTTTACGACGTATAGCTCCAATTTTTGACAACTTACCCCAACATAAAACTTTTGTGTATGTTATATACCATGTTTCTTTGAAGATTATTTTTAATTGTAGTCGTTTGCTATGTACAGAGGTTTTGCATGAATATTAGGCACATTTATTGAAAACTTTTTTTTCTTGTAAAACAAATAGAAAACTGTAAAAAGCTTTCATATTTTTCATCTTATTGCCTTCAAACAGATTTATACAGACTGATTTTCCCTATTTTTTTGGAGGGGGAGATGTTTTATGAAATATGGCATGAGTGTCTGTACCTAAAAATAAGATTTTTAAGTGAAGGAAAAAACAAATATTTCTTGAGTAGTATTTCCCCTATATTGGTAATCCCCTTTTATTGAGGCTGCTAGTTTAAATTTGCTGTGGTCAGTAAAGGAGCATCAAACATTCATTACTTTGTATATAAAAAAACTGCATTATGTGCCTTGGTTGAAAAATCACAATTCCAATTTATTATACTGCCCTGTAGTGAAGAAGGCAATTAGTGTTAGGCTACTAAATGTGTTGGAAACCCAGTGTTGTTGCTTTCACTGCTGTTTTAATTAGAGGTTTTTCTCATACATGAAGTGACGGTTGATGGAGGAAAAAGGACAGCAAAGAATTAAGATTTAAAGTTGTCAGTAAAAGTTGATTCTAAGTTTAACATTACATAAAGAGATGGTGAACTATGGAAAATTGATCCAACTGCAGTGTTTTCCTTCTGAGCCTGCATAACTTATGGGGGATACATGTGATGAATACGAAAGGGGCAGAGTCTTCTTTTAACATTCAAAGCAGTGAATCAGAGAGGGACTGTACAAGATGCGAGGGTGAGTCTGGTTTATAAAAGGTGAGTCTGTTTTTATATAAACCAGTGCTCTTTTACTCCAAAAGCACAGGTTCCCCACAGGTAAATGAAGGAGTCAGGCAGGATAGGGCATTTTAGTACTGTACAGATATGGGGTTGTTAAATATCAGTAGAGCTTTGCAGGGCTCCTTCTTGAAAGCATCTGTTCAGCCTGAAGGAATGTGTTTTCAGGATCCAGGAAGCATCTTATAATCAGTCTTAGCATCTGTCAATTTTGTGTGCTATCTGAGTCATTGAAGTGCCATATATTACAACTGCAGGAAAGGTGAAGAGTGACTGGGAATTCTAGTGCTGTTTGCACATTCCACAACCATGAAGAAAGGAATGAAGCCAGCAAAGAGAAACTTATAAGAGAAGTTATGTGGATCCAGTACCTCTTACTACTAAATGTAACATAGCAGTTTAGGCAAGCATAAAATTGAATGAACTTTTGGTCAGACACCGTTAAGATAATTAAGGCAATTTATGGGTAGGATTAAAGTTCAGTGCCACTGCTCAGATTACTGAAGAGTTTTATTATGCAATACCTGCTACTGAATGCATCATTTACAATAGGAGATGTGCCTTGGATGGCTGATTAAGGGCTAAGCGTATCCTAAGAGACCCTTTGAAGTATGTGGGGGTTTTCAGGATTGGGTCCTTAAACTGACTAATGCATAGTTAAAATATTCGGTGCTTTTATTTTTAGAAGGCCAGCTCCAGAAATTTAAGAATGAGCTAGTCAAACTGCATTGTTCCTTGGGTATGCAATTGGTAGCTTCTTAACTGTACCTAGCCAGGCAAACAGGCTAGAGGGAGACAAAATGGAGAGGGCCATGTTTTTCCAAGTTTACTCAAAGAGACTTGCCTTTGGCTTTTTCCAGTATAGAGTGCTTAGGTCACTGCATGCTATCCCTATATACTGTCCCTCCACAAGGAATGCCAGGTCTTAGCAGAGGGGATTTTTCCAACTGGAAGAATCACACCCTGCTCCAGTCAGGCAGTCAGAAATGATAGATTCTTGTTTCCTTGGAAGAGGCCTGCTTGTGTGGGCAAATGCCTTGAAATCACATTTATCACTGACAATAGTAAGTTCTAAAAAATAACAAAAAGATTTATTGTAGAAACAAGGTCAGACATTAGAAATCGGTAACCATATGTTGAGATACAGGCCGAGGTATAAGAATAAACAAACACAAGAACTTATCAGAACAATAATCTGATCTTCCCCTGCATCTAAACCTGACAAGGCAGCACTTATCCAGCTCAACAGGTTAAAAAGCAGCTCCTGCCTCTGATCTTCCTGCCAGGACCTCCTGCAAGTTTTTCTGTCACCATGTTTCACTCAGCTAACTGGCTGGGGGCCTAAGGTCCTTCCCTGTGCCCAGGAGCAAACTAAAGAAACAACTTGCTTTGAAGGCAAAGCTTAAGTATGGTTTCTTATCTGTCCATTTACATACATCATCCTTTGGATTTCTGAGGAGTCCACACCATGCATATCACTTTCCTCTTTGCAAGGGTGTATTTGTTTGCCAAACCAGAAGTCTCATCTGCTGTAATGATGACCAGGAGAATATAGATAGGGGTAGGTAAAATGGTGAATCTACCTGGTGGCCGGACTCCATTTCCCAGCAGCCCCTGCCCACGTCGATGAGGCCAGTTTCCATGGAGACCCCAGCAGTGGAAGCACTGTGACAGCATGAGGCCGGGGTTTCCATGGAGACTGGCAGGGTGTGCAGCTGGGTGGGGAGCTGGTCTAGGGCCCATGGTGGGATCTTGAAGTGGTGACATCATGTCCCGAGCTGGGCAGAGCTGTGATCTGCTGCCTGCATGCCCCTGCCTGGGTCATGCGGGCAGCAGATTGTGGCTCTGCCCCAGCTCTGGACCACACTGCCACCGCTGCAGGATCCAAGCCCCGGAGCAGCTCGCCACCTAGCTGCTCATCCTGCCAGCACTGCAGGGGCCGGTGTCTATGGAAATCCCAGCCCTGCGCTGTCATGGTGCTGCTGTTGCTGGGGTCTCCGTGAAACCGGCTGCAGTGACCCAGGCAGGGGCTGCTGGGAAATGGAGTCCACCATGGCCTGAATCCGCCCATGGGCCAGACTTTGTCTGCCCCGGTATAGATACTGCCTCTCACTTAATTTCCCCACTGTTAGAAATGCCATTCCCTGAATAGCCAGGTCTATTCTTTTAAAATGTAAATTCATCTTTGACTGGGTGATGGAGCTCAGAACATGTCTGGAAGTGCCTATTCAACTGGATGTCAAACATTCCCATGTCAGATGCTGATCTTTCATAATTACTTCTCTCAGCCATTGCTTAGATCGGGGTGGGCAAAATACAGCCCATGGAGGGACTTTGACTGGCTTGCAGTGGGTCCCTCAGTCCTGCCTGGCCCAGGTACTGTCTGGCTGCTAGAATCCATTTCTAGGCGGCCAAGGCAGCAGTGACTCCTTCCAGATGCTGCTGATGGCCCCAGACTGAAAGAGATTGGCTGGGACTCGCACACACAACCCTGGCCCCAGTCCACCCCATACCTACTCCAGACCTGCCCTGTCTGGAGCGAACCAACTCCAGATCAGCCAGGACCCACATGTAGAGCCTGGCCCCAGGCCACCCTGTGCATGCTCCAGACCCACCTGCCCTTAATGAGTGGTGGCAACTGGGCAGAAGCTGCTGCTGGGCATGGGGGAAAGCAGCCATCCCCCTTTGCTGCTGCCAGACCCTTATTGCTGCAGCCACCCAGAGCCCATGCCCAGGCTGCCCTGCAGCTCCTCTCCACCACCATCACCACCACCACCAGTACCACCTCTGTGCTGCCCAGTGGGGCAGCAGTGGCAGTGGGGAGGAGCCAGCCTGGGCATGGGCTCTGGGTGTGCACAGGAAGAAGAGCCCAGCAGCCACAAGATGAAGTGGCCACTTTTCCCCCACGCCCAGCAGCAACTTCTGCCCAGCTGCCTCCACTCATCGTGGGTGGGGCGGGCCAGTGCCGATGCTGTGTGCACCAGTCCCGGGCTGGTCTGGAGCTGTACGCTGTGGCCAGGGCAGATCTGGGGTAGGTCAGGGCTGGGAATGGGGCTGTGTGTTTGGGTCCTAGCTGGTCCAGAACTGGTCCGCTCCAGCCATGGTGAGTCCGGCACAGGCCAGAGCTATATGTTTAGCTGCTACTGGCCACTGGCAGTGGCAGAGAGAAGACACAGGCCCCTTGGGCTCCAGGTTTGGTGAGCTATTGTGGAGATGATGGGTGCTGATCAGCCCACAACAGGTCCCTGAAACTGCCTGTGTAGCTTGTGAGGCCATAATTGCCCACCCTGGTGTAGATGGTGACACCTGAAAATATTATCATCTTGTGCAATCCTGTCCTTATTATAACTTATAAGAAATATATTTATATTAAATACCACAATTCATATAAAGATATGATGATAAGACAGAACGCAGCTTGATGCTACCTATATATAGAGACTACATGTGCCATATCACTAAAACAGATTCCAGAAAATGTGCATGGCATTCCATGAACACCTCAAAATATTGTAGGTTCATGACCATAAGAAATACAGATCTCTTTTTGATAAAGTGCACCAATAACTGTAATGTCAGATAACAGTGCAGCATTGCCACTCACTGTCACTGGAAATTCCCAGTTTCCTATAAGCCAGTAAAATACTCTCCAGTCTACTGTTATACAAGGTGGTGATTTGA